TTAACAATCGTCATCTCTTGCGACGACATTGGCTCCCTTTCCCATCACCCTCGTATTCGGGCCTTCCTTAGAGGAACCACTAATTTACACCCTCCAACTGTACACTGGTACCCAACCTGGGACCTTAATAAAGTCCTCATTTCACTCACTAAACACCCCTTCAAATCCCTAAGGGAGACAACCCTCCAGTTTTTAACATTCAAGGTAGTGTTCCTTGTAGCCATCACATCCACCCGTCGGATATCGGAAATCGCAGCCCTGGCCGTTAGGAAGGACCTCTGCGTTTTTCACGCAGATAGAGTGGTTCTCCAACCTGACCCCACCTTCTTGCCCAAAACCAACTCAGCTTTCCACAGAGCGCAGGAACTCATTCTCCCAAACTTTTGTCCCAGACCCTCGCGGGATAGGGAAAGACAGTGGCATACCCTCGATGTGAGATGTGCTCTGCGTATTTACATCAAGCGCACTCAGCCCTTTAGGAAGTCGGAATCTTTATTCCTTTCATTCCAGCCCAAGACACTGGGTCACAAAGTATCCCCGTCAACTATAGGCCGTTGGATCAGAGCAACAATCTCTAGGTCTTACCTGTCACAGCGGGTCCTCAGAGACCCAGAGGGGCTTCCGACCCAGACGGAGTCCCTCCCGTAGGACAGGCCAAGCTTTGGTATGTCCCACTCTGGATGCTCTGAGCAGCTCTATGGAGAAGGGACGTTGGTTCTTACCTGATACGCCCGTTCTCGTCGAGCTGCGAAGAGCATCCAGCCCCACCCTAATTTCACCGTCTGGTGGGGAATCTTGTTTCGGCCAATGAACCATTAGGTAGTTAGGATGAGAACACGTTTTTTTTCTTCTCGTCTTCGCAAAACTGGGGAACGCTACGGAGGAGTCACGTGGAGGAGGAGGAGCGTTCCTCAATTCAAGCTCAGCCTGTGAGTGCAGAGACTGGAGCACCTCCCAGTCTGGATGCTCTTCGCAGCTCGACGAGAACGGGCGTATCAGGTAAGAACAAACGCCCCTTCCCTCTAGTTTCCAAGTTTTAAAATTGTTTATCTTCTTATCTTAGAAAAATTTCAAAAAGTACACTTTCCCAGGAAAGGATTTATTTATTTATTTTAAAATAATAACAGAAAAAAAAGAAACAAAACACAACAATAATCGTCACCATCACCAAAGAAAAAATGCATGATAAATGCTTTTTAAAAGGTGAAAAAATACAACAAAAAAGAAAAAAGGAAACAAAATATAATGTGTTATAATGATCAACAGTTTTGATTGATACATATTTACATAATGCAAATATGCAAGTATGCATACATTTCCTTCTAGTACATATTAAAGATTAAAGGCAGATTCACTTGGTGTTTTCAGACTTCAATCCAAAGGTTTCTAATAGGTGAAAAATAGTTAATAAGCTATTTCCTAGGGTGATTAGAAAAAGAATTAAACAAACTTAGTCTCCTTTTAAAAGTGCTGGACCATGGTTTGAGCAATATGGATATTCTCTCATCTCTCAGTGCTCAAAACCTGCCAGAGACCACTGTTTTGCAGTCTCCTTGGGAGGAGCAATTGTCTGGAGCTCTTGTAGGTGATTTCTCATCCTCTGTTTGCCTAAAGAGTTTCAAATACCCGGTCTACTCACCAGCTCTTCGTTGCTCGCCACAGTCCATTTTCCATGGAGCCATCTTAAGTCTGCTATTTCTTCCTCTGGAAGTCCACATAGAACATAATTAAGAATACATTGATTTGCCTAGTGATTCATTTATCCTGCTTGTCAGCATTCAGTGATACAGCCTAGGTTCTCCTACTAGAGAGTCAAAATGTTGGTGGAAAAAAAAACCAATTTGGAAATCAACTGTCTTCTACCTTTATGTCCATCATCACCACTGAGAAAAATAACTATATAAAAATGGATCCAAGGTGGAAATACTGTATTTATCCATTATATTAAGGCTATGCATTCTTTTAAGTTTATCTTGACTCCTGAACATTTTATGAACATGTTTCTCTAGAAACAGTAGAACCTCTAGTCACAAACGCTTCTGACCATGACCAACCTGGGTTCCGATCAAAAAATTCACAAAATTTTTGAATCTGGTCACGAACACATACTTGGGTGGCGATCAAACACGACCCCTGACCCAGAAGTTCCTGAAGAAGAAATCGCCAAAGTTATGGAATGAATTATGGTCGTGACAAGAGGGTCTACCATATGTGGATACCTTCTAACCTCCCAGTCTAATCTCTATCCATTGTACTTTTTGATCTCCCATCTTATACCATCAACCAACCCAACTCAGCTTCTGAGCCGAGATGAGGTCAGCCAAATATAATAGGGTATGAAAACTAAATAAGAGATTTCCAGCCAGGGATTGATTTGGCGAGGGGGGGGTGGAGGTGCAGAAGAGATAGGCATAGAGAACGAGTCTACAATTTTGGGTTTTTTTCCCCACTATATCTTCTGTGCTAAAAAATTTTTTTTAACAAATTTTATTCAGTTTTTCACATAAAAACAAAAATCTCTTTTTAGTGGACAACATATTTCTGGGTCATCACCTTTACATACAATTATGACAGCAATTATACATTGATATATGCATACTTAATTCTATTATTACCTTTTCCATTCCAAATTTTCAGTAAGGAGAGAAACAAACACATTAATTCTAGCCTCTTTCATTAATCTTAATCAAAACATCTTTTTGTTTCAATTATTTCAAATATAATCCTTTAATATTTATTTTAAAAATAAAGATAAACAATATGTATTTGCATAATAATAATAATGATAATAATAACAATAAAAAGTTACTAATGTCTCTCCTTGCTTTTAATAGTCTATATTAACTTATTAATTTAGTTGGTTCTTTAGTGTGTCATATTCCCTTTCCATTACATATTCTTTTTATAAATTCTAGATTAATACAAATTTTAACACTAAAAAAAAAAACAAGTATAGGTTTCCCCCCTTTTACTGTTTTGAGTGTGACACCTCAATGATTAAAATATACCTTTATTCCCTCATCTTAATTCCCAATAAACCATTATTTTTAACAAGTTACAATAATAATCATTACATCTTTTCACTTGGATTCCACAGCATATTTCCCCCCTTGATTTTTAATAAGAGTTATCAGTATCTATATTACCCTATTTTCTAAATATTTTTAATTGCAGAAATATTCTTATTACCCCTTGTCACCCTGCAGAATCCCCTTTTTAATTCATCAACCATTATCTCTGAAAAAACAATTTCTTTTCAATATTTTACTATTTCCGTATTTCTTTATTTCATGCGCCTGTTTCTTACTGCTTCTCCTCCCCCTCTTTTCCCCATATCTTTTCTCATTCCAGTTTATATCTCTCTCTTTCTTAATATCTTCCTTTCCCCTTTTCTGCTGGGTCTTTCTGTCTTTCCCGACTTCACAGGTATTCCCCCTTTTGATTGCCTTCTTAAGTCTCAACTTTTTAACCTTCCTCCTTTCCCCACTTCTTTGTAGCGTTCTTTGTGTTAGTTGTCTATTTAAGATGTCTTCTCCTTGAGTCGACTCCTCCTCCTCCAAAGCTCTTCTTGTTCTTCAATCGCCATTTCCATTTTTTCTAACACAGAACAAAGTGATTCGCCTCTTTCCTATAGTAATTCTCTCATATTTTTAAGTTCCATTTTTAATTCCCGAAGAGATATCATAATTACACACTCTTGTATTTTATGATCATTAAAATCCACAAAAAAACCACTTTACTTTCCTTCTTTCTTCTTTCAATTTTCTAAAGTTCTCAATTATTCCAGCCCAGGGTCTATACCAAAAACATCAATCAATCCCACAGTCAGTCTTTCCTTGCTTTTTTCTTTATTCTGATTCTGCTTTCACTTTCTAAGATTCTTACTTTGTTTCAATATTTCTTTAATGTTATATCCACACAAATTCATTCAGAAACAGGATGCTTTCCCTTTTATTTGAGCTCAAGTTTTTGTTGAAAGGTGGCACTCTCCATTATACAAAGTCTTCACCTTTTTCCCCTATTTTTTTTTATTTAGGGTTTTTCAAACCTCAATATTCCAGCACAGTCTCCAATTTGTAAACTTTATTTTTATTATTTTTTGACAATCTTAAGTTCAGCTTTATTTTATGCCTGTTTATTGCCAAAATATTTTAGTCCAATTTAGTTAAATCTTTAGTTCCGGCTTCTTCCTTTCCTGGTTCGAAGCCCCGCTTAGCTATCAGAAATATATATATATATTTTTCCTGTCCCTTTGTAATTTCACCGCACACTTTTCTTTTCTTAAAAATTCCATGTTACCTTTTGTTTAGTTGTATCGCCCAATTGTCCTGGTTCAGATGTTATCCGCCTCTTTCTTCCCTCCTCCACAAATCTTAATCCAGCTGAGTCCTCCTCTTCGGGGTGGCCATTTTAAACCACTGCTGCAGTCGTCTTCGGGGGGAAAAAGGCCAAGCCCAGGAGGGGAGATGCGGCTCCCTTCAACCTGGCTTGCGGCTTCCCCTTACTCCACCGCCCCTCCAAGGCAGCTTCAGCCCCTAATCGTAATGATCGGGGCTTTCCAACGAAAGAGCATGGACCATAGCCGCAGAGAGATGCGATCTACGGTCTGTCAGCGAGGAGGCTCCGCCTTCTTTCTCCTGTGCTAAAGATTCTTAAAGGCTGTGAGGATAGGAGATGTTTTTTGAAAATCAAATGAATTCTGAAAATACGTTAAGTTAGGAGATGTTCCGACTATTATTTCGCTGGGAACAATAAGACAGAACTCTTGGTTACTGTTGCTAATACATTAGGTGACCTGCTTCCCATACAGCCTGAAATTACATATACTAACAAAGAACTTGGTTCATTTTTAGCATCCACGTTGGTCTTGTAATGGAATAAGGAGGCAGCAGCAGAAAATGGAAAGGTGGTGCTTTCCATTTTATATAAGGTGATGCTCTTATTTTCATTGAATTTTTTTTTCTGAAAGTTTCTAACAATAGCTTCACTTTCTCTCACAGCCCGAGAGGAGAGAAGATCCGCAGCAGAGTAGAGCTGTTGAGATTGCTGGGATGCTCACGGGATCTGACTGATTTTGATTACAGGAGAGGAATTTTTGTTGAACCAAACACAGAGGTATTATTATAGGTAACACTGGCTGTGATAGCTTAATTGGTTGCTGTGAATTCTGTTCCTAGTCATATTGCAAAGGTTTTGTCTTGATGCCCGCTTCCAATTAATCCCAGCTTTTAAAGTATTTTTGGTTGTTCATTTTTCCAAAGTAGATTTCTGTATGTTTATTTTGTTTATTGCCAGCCCTTCCTTTATTTTATCGTCATAAAATAAAATAATTGTCTCACTTTATTTTGTGAGACAATTTAATCTGAGATCTACAGATAATTCTCAATTTAGGATTACATTTGGACCTTCCTAAACTAGGAATAAATAACTAGACTATAATGCCTAGTAGCAGTACTAGTAGTGTATTAAGTATTAAGTTTAACTGTCTCCTCTGCCTCTTATCTCCTCCTTGCAGGCCCTGCCCTCAGCACCCTTCTCACCTACTGAAGAAAGTCCTCAGAGGGTGAGTGTACACATCTTCACAAGCCAGAACATTATGATTGGTAGCTTGATTGCCAACTGAAAAAATGTGATAAGGCAGAAGAGGTGAAAAGTCATCAGCATGATTGGTTTTCTTGTTTGGCTGAATAGAAATTAACTAGTGATTACTAGCAATTTGGAAAGCTATTCCAAAAGTACATTCCAAAGATATCCTGGTAAATTAGTGGTAAATTAGTTGTGTTCTCTGGAACACTAACAATTTTACTTGCCTTCAATTCTCCATGGATATTAACCTTGTGATACAGGTAGTCCTCGATTTACAACACTTCACTTAGTGACCATTCAAAGTTACAACGGCACTGAAAAAAAAGGACTTACAATCATTTTTCACACTTAACAACTGTTGCATGGTCACATGATTTATATTCGGATGCTTGGCAACTGACTCATGTTTGCGACTGTTGCAGTATCCCGGGGTCATGTGATCCCCTTTGCGACCTTCTGACAAGCAAAGTCAATGGGAAAATCAGATTCACTTAACAACCATGTTGCTAATTTAACAACGAGAGTGATTAGCTTAACAAATATGGCACGAAAAGTTGTAAAAGGAGGCAAACCTCACTTAACAAATTTCTCATAAATGTTGGGCTCAATTGTGATTGTAAAGTTGAGGACTACCTATATTAGCCAGACAAGAACCATAACCAGGAGTATTAACTCTGTATAGCAGGCTTACATTCTTGCAAGTCTGAAAGTAGTCCTCCCATCCCTTATTTTTACTCTCCCAAAAAACTAGGGAAGATCCTTTCTGAGATGCTTTCACCACTCTTCCTCCTCAAATTTCAGTTTATCAAGCCACTGTCTAGGCCACAGGTGAAACTTGTGGCGTCAAGTTGTCATGTTACGTATTGCGATGTTTTTTCCCTTCATGGAGCTGGAGTGGCCGTGGCCTGTGTTTGACACATTTGGCCTGTGGGCCGCCAGTTTGACACCCCAGGTCTAGGCTCCTATCTACCAAGGTCATTCCCACATACAGTTACAAATGGAAATCCATGTGATTAAAAGTACCATAAGGTAACTGTTTACCACTCTTTCCATGCAAAGCGAAGATTCTAATCCTTGGTTTTTTAAGTTGTATCCTACAATGTTTTGTTTTAGTGTTTGAATGAGAAAGCACTTAACAGGTACCCTTTGCCTGGGTGAAGCAATGTAAAAGCAAATGGACTGGACAGATCATGGATTGGCTTGTACAACTGATTAATTTCCCTGATTTTTAGTCCTTGGTAAAACATTTTCACGGATGGAAGGATTTGGTTACTAGTTGATATATAGGAATTCTGTCTTTTTGGTTCAGAAATGGCACTTGGTTGAAGGTGAAGGATGGATCTTATATAGCCATTAACCTTGAAGTAAGCTTTTATTTGTAGACAAGAGTCTACCTGTCCATAGGGCTGAGGCCACATTCTGTTTCTTCTCCAACAGATCAAAAAGAGCAGCAAAAAGCACCTACTGCATCTGGGAGCAACCACCTTACCATGCAAGAAACCACCTTATTTGCAGGTGTTTCTAGAGCCTCAGCCTTCTCCAGGACACAGGCTTCTGGACCAGAAACCTTCAGAGCTGGAATTAGAGTTTCTGGGAGAGAACCAAGCCAATATGCAGAGTCAACAATCAGAGCTTCCTGTTACTCTGGATCAACTGGCACCAAAGCTGCCCAAACAACGTTGTCGGCAGCATCTTCCACCCATTCCTTCTCCAGATAAAATAGAAGATGTGACATTGCAGGAGAGCAATCCAAAGGAAGCTATGGCGTGAGCAGTTCCCTTGTCCCATTACCAGCAGATTGTTGCCAGTTGATTGTTTTTCTTCTTCTTAAATTTACTCACAAAAAATCATAAATTCAAATATAGATTTTAATAGAGTGAGCTATTGCACTTTTCCAAAATCGGATAATGTGACTCCATTCTAGCTAAGCCATTACTAGCCAAATGCTAAGGCAGGGGTGTCAAACTCGTGTCATCATGGTGTATCTTGACTTTCCCCCCTTCGCTAAACCGGGCTTGGGCATGGCCAGTGTGTGACGCATCCGGTCTGTGGGCCACGAGTTTGACAGCCCTGTTCTGAGGCAAAGAGTTCTCTCTTTTACCAAAAAATAACTCTGTTGCAGGTTAAAACGAACTGAAATTGAATTTAAACACTTACAAAATCATATTTGGAAAGCCAATAATTTGATCAGAACTGACATTTCTACATCAGGGCTTAAAAAAATAATTCTTACCAGGTTTATATGAAATAACGGTGACCACAGAGTTACCGGGTTACCACAGTTGGGATTGGAATTTCCATCATTCAGCAATGAAGTCATAAAGCACAATGTCACATGACCATATCACTTGATTAATAGCAGTCCTAAAGTCTCAGTTGCCATTGTGGTCTCAGGACCATGCAGTTCATTAACTGAGGCTCTCATGTGACCATGATATGGGAAAAGGGGGGAATCCCAGGGCAAACAGGCCAATGGGCAAGAGTTCCAGGTGACAGCCACAGGCAGTTGGATGGATGCTCCAAGCAGGCACAACGGAGTACGGCAGGTGGGTGCCAGCAGCAGCTGCTGTGTATGAACGGGTGGGCAGTTGCTGTTGGCAAGCACTATGGAGTGTGGATGTGTGTACGGGTGCCACAGGCAAGTGCTTTGGAGCGTGGCGGTTTTTGTGGGTCAACGCTAGGGTGCGCTGGCAAAGAGTAGGTGCCATGAGCGGGCAGATAGGTGAAGAAAATAGCAGGAATTATTTACAAGTCTCCTTGGCTTCCCCATTGATTTTGCTTATGGGAAGCTGGCAGGGAAGGAAACAAATGGCATTCATGTGACTACGATACACTGCTGCTGCAATCATTATAATTGTGAGCTTCTTGCTAAGTGTCTGAATTGCTCCCCTTTGACCCCTTTGCATCCCCTTGCTGGGATGGCTTGAATTTTGCAGGCAGGTGATAAGTTCCCCCTTGTTCAGTACCATCCTAACTTTGAACAATAGCTAAACAAGAGATTAAAGCCTGAGGCAAGAAGGCATAAGCTGCCTTATTTCAAATAGCTCACGTGGTTCTGCATGAATCATTTTTTCCTGATCAAATTATTCATAATTAATTCCCTGTGGGTGACAGATAAAATTATATAATGTTGTCTTCATTCCCAAATAGTGCAAGTTTTGTTTTTTTTAAAAAATGAGGAATACATTCTTTCGTTAGATTAATGTTGGCAAAAGCATACTCCATGCACTTTGAGATTTCTGTACCTCGTTTCTCATCATTTTTAAATGATTTCTATTGCTTTTTGTAGGGCTGCTATTTAGGAAACAAATTACAAATTGATAACTTTATTGGTCTTTCCTAACCGTGGCATTAACTCCAGACATAAAGTAATGGAATACAGGAGGGTATATTAAGACTAAATTATATCACACATTTGAATAGGATGAAGGCAGAAAGAATACAGTTTAGGCAAGGAATGTTGTGACTAAGAGAAGATCAGTGTTCGAGTCAGATAATCTCCAATAATTAGTCAGTTCTCTAGATATGCAAGTTTTAAAAACAGACAACTTGATTTTCACTCAGATAGGACACCCATAGACCTTTGAAGTTTGGAAGCTTTTTTCAGCTAGAAACTTTGAATCCTATTTCAGCGGCCTGTCACACTCTTGTTATATGTGTGACTATGCACACTTTTGAACAAATTCAGAACATAAATCTCAGTGTTCAAGGTTTAGTGTGTAATATCTTTTGATAGCATGAAATGTTCATAACTTACTGCAGATACTCAGAAAGATACCCTCCATCCTAAGCTAAGCCATGTTTCCCCCTGACCTGAATATCTTCAGTGAATTGTGCTGTCTAGCCAGTAATAGCCAGATAATTATGACAAAGCAAATCAAACATTGGATAAAAATATTGCCGTTAAATCATTGGCACCATATGATTGCTATGTTATTACTATTGCTGATAATACAGCCAATTATGGTTATATAGTGGAAATCTTTGGAGAGCAGTTTTGAAAATCTCTTGGAATGATAAAGCAGGTTGCAATAAGCAACTGAGTAAAAAAGAATTACAATATGGGTGAAAAGGAATAATTCTGTCCATCTCTTCTTCCAGGTGCTGTGCCAGCTGTCAGGGACAGTTCCCAGAAATAATGCTACCATCTCAGAGACGTTGTCGGTGGCTCTGCCCAGACTGCAGAGGTTGGTATTTCAAGTGATAAGGTGACAATGCAAGGATTTGTTTTATTGATGCTGTGCTGGAATGGTAGATTATTTATTTATGTTCCACTAAAGCAATTAAAGGATTAACTGTCCATTCTCTCAGTAGGAAGTGTGGAGGGGGGAAAAGCTAGAAGTAGTTGTTGAGAAGGTGGGTAGGAATATTACAATGGTAACAGGCAGAGGAAGGTATGGTGGGAATCTGGTGGCGGGCCATACCTGCGGAATACCAGACCCAGTATTTGAAAGTGTACTCACTGTCTGGCCTTTGTTTCTACTCATTGGATCCTCAATAGCTCTGTTCTGGCTATTGCTGTGAAACCCCCTAATCAGTATGTAAAAAGGACGTCCTCATTCATGATTTTACCAAGGGTAAAAGTGTCAATCTGGCATGTCTGAGATGTGCAGGTGGGCTCAGAGGGATGTGTTCCTCTCTTGGATATATGCTCACCTGGGTTTTGGGTTTTGCATTAACCAAGACCCAGGAGAGGATGGATTCAGGGCTGATTTGCCTGAGTTTTTGAAAGCTCTCAGAGGCTGTTCTCTGCAGATAATTGATAATTGATAATTTTATGTGAGGATTTGATGGGTGGTTGATCAAAGCCTTAGTCACTGCTTGGAGAAGGCAGGTGGCTGAGTGTTTGGACTTCATTGCTTTCATGCAATGTCTCACTGTGTCTCTCTTGCTTTGCAAGCACCTCTTTTTTTCTCATGTGACTGAATGTGTGTCAGGTTGCTCATTAATATCTAGAAGGAAGGGGCTGATACAGTTAGTTCTCAACAGTCACAATTGGGATTGGAATTTATGTTGTAAGTTGGTGCGGTTGTAAGTCAAGTCAGGCCCAATTTTATGACAATTTTTATGGCAGTTGTTAAGCAAGTCACACGGTTGTTAAACTTCTCAAAGAACATTTTCGCTCTGTTTGTCTTTGCTGAACACAGGCATAAAAGATTGCAAATCATGATCATGTGATGCTGCAAATGGTCATAATTGCAAGCCAGTTGCCAAGCACTCAAGTTGCAATCATGTGAACATGGGGGAAGGGTAACAGTTGTAAGTTCAAGTTACAGAGCGTAAGTCACTTTTTCCAAGGCTGTTGTAACTTTCAACCATTGTTAAACAAAGGGTCGTAAGTCAAGGACTATCTGTACTGCTGTGGCAAAGATGAAAATGCCACCCTTGACCATGAATGATTTAAATCTTTGTAGACAAAGATTGCAAAGCCATGTCTTGACAGCTTTTGAAAGGATGGCTGCTTTTCTTTTATGTTATCAACAATGATGTGATTCCAGGTGCGCCCGTGCCACAGATTCCTGGATATGAGATCCAGTGTTTGAATTTGCACACTAGGGATCAGTTGGGGTCGCTATTACTAAATTAGCTTTCCTGCTGCATAGGAGCTCTGTTGTTAGAGTTATTCAGCTCTGAGGTAGTGGTGGAATTTCCTTCAATCTGTTTTTTTTTCCTGGAAGTGGAAGCAGAGATGGCTCACAGGCACTATGAAAACCATGGACCTTACTCAAACCATCAATGCTCTGATGCACAGAGGAGGTTATGCCAGATCTGGTTTTTGTCTCAGGAGAAAAGTGACAAGATTTGGATATGAGGATAATTGACATTGGTCTTTTGTCATGATCAGTTGACCCTTTGATTGCTTTAGAGTTTTCCTGTGCTTCCAGCCACAGGGACCCTGTTAGGTTCCAGAGGGAACTTGGGATTGTCTCGGAGGCTCAGGGATATCGTTCAATCTAAGTGTTAGTCATTACTTGGAATGAGTTATTATGACCTTAGACCTCATTGTGACTTGGAGGACTCTCCCAACTTGTGGTACTTGGAGAGTCTCTTGGTTTACTCTTTCTCTTTTGCTAGAGGAAAAAGAGAATGAATCTAACCAAAGGTGCTCTGAGTTGGACTTCGAGTATGCAAGTCCAATGGAATTCCTCCGGAGGGGTTTGAGCCTCTTGGTTTTAAGGAAGAGAACAGGGTTTTCAAGGCTATCAATTTGGCCCGCTTGTCAAGCCATCAAAGTAATTAAATGTCAGTAGGAAAAATACATTCTCTTCCTTCTTTTCTTCAATAAAATATTACTAACCCCTTATATTTGAAGGCAAGGTAAGAATCTGCAAAACCTTTTTTTGACCAGAAGGTTCTAGTGCATAAGTGTGCCAAAGCATCCATCTCCCTTGCTTTCTCTATTTGAACTTCTCTAAGTCTGTTTCAGAGATAACAATTGTGTCAATCAGAAAGACTGCTGGAAACCTTCCTTTGTTTTCTTCTAATCTAAATATTTGCTCATCTTCTATTCTGCCTGAGAAGCAAGGCAATGTGGCAGATGTCTGATTCACTTATTGTGCCTAGTAACCTTTGGATTGATGGACTTCTTTTCTATGCTGCTAAACTAAGACAATGTTTTTGTGTGCCAGCTTTACTTACTTACTTGTTTTGCCTCTTTCAGCTCAGAGAAGAGCTTTTAACAGGGAGCAAAGATATTACAAGGTAAGATCTAAGACAGGGGTCCCCAACTCCTGGGGCTGCGGCCCACAACTCGGCTTCAATCCCTTTGGAACTGGGCCACAGAAGTGGTGGGTGAGCATGTGTGCGCGCATCCCCGCTTGTGTGAGAAGTACACAAGCACGGGCGAGTGTGCTCCATTTGTGCGTCACTTGCGCAAATGGAGCTGAGCGTGTACACATGCTTGCCTACCACTCTTGTGGAACCATCCCCTCTCCCACCCCCTCCCACCCCCAAGCTGGTCCACAAAGCTGGAAAGGTTGGGGAACTCTGATCTAAGACGCAGTCACATTTTCTGTTTTATTTAGAAAGTGTATTGAAGTATGTGAGTATAAAAGGTACTGTGCTTAGATCTAAGCCTGTACCAAATAAAAATGCTACTGCAACATTATAAGATACAAGTATGCATCTTATTATTAGCCTGCATTTTTATGGATTGCACTTCCGTGTTTGCTATTCACTTTGCAATTGATGAAAGAGCAGTTTTACCCCAGATAGGCAGAAGGGTAGACCTGGAAAATGGAAGAGCTGAAAAGCTACGAATCCGTCCCAAATTTGAATATTGTTTGTTTGTAATTGAAACACAACTTGGCTGTATACTGGAATATATTAGAGGAGGCTTTCCCAATGAGAGATTCTTAGATGCTTTTGCTCTTCATTTCCTATAATCTGTAGTCAGCATGTCCAGCCCAACTAGAAGGTGCTGTGTTTTGGATTTAGAGCACAGGTAGTCCTCGACTTACGACCACAATTGAGCCCAAAATTTATGTTGCTAAGTGAGACATTTGTTAAGTGAGTTTTGTCCCATTTTAACAACCTTTCTTGCCACATTTGTTAAGTGAATCATTGCAGTTTTTCAGTTAGTAACACAGTTGTTAAGTGCATCTGGCTTCCCCATTGGCTTTGCTTGTCAAAATCACATGATCCCATAACATTGCAAAGTCATAAATATGAGCCAGTTGTCAAGGATCCAAATTTTGATCACGTGACCAATTGGAGGCTTCAATGATTGTATGTGTGAAAGGTAGTCACAAGTCACTTTTTTCAGTGCCATTGTAACTTTGAATAATCACTAAATGAACTGTTGTAAGTCAAGGACTACCTATTAGCGTATTGCAGAGGTACTGAAGCATGTACTTTATTGACAGCAGCAGGGCTGAAGATTGGATTTTAAGATGAAAAGATTAAGATTTTGTTTGCCTCTTGGAGAAAGAAAGCTCCTAGGAACACGACAGAATATAAGATAGAGCTATAAAACAAAATAGTCGATTTGGCAGGTTGTGCATTATAGTTGCCCCCATCTCCAGCCAAAATGTCCTAAATAGTGTGTTTTGCAGAGAATCTTAGCCCAAGATGGTAGAGGACCATGGGTTAATGACAACAACTTGAAAAGAAGGCAATACCAGGGGTTAGTACAATAGAAGACCAAACATTGGCAAAGATCACAGAGTATCAAGATCTGAAAATCAAAATTGAAAGATCAGTTGTGGTGGTCCCAGTGGTTATCAGCATACTGGATGCCATAGCAAAAAACTTTGGCCAGCACATAGAAAAATCTTACATATTGACAAAATTTCCATCTGTCAGTTATAAAAGGTTATACAGCTTGGATCCGCGCATAGGTTATGCTGATACGTTACAACATCCTAGGTTCTTGGGAATAAGTTGATGCTGATAAGGCCAATATCAGTTGAAAAGAACTGACAACTGTGCCTTAACATTGTGTATGTAATAACAATTTATTAAATTTATTAACATACCACCTGTCTGCATAGTGACCCTGAGTAGTTCACAATAGTTAAAAACACCTGATGTCTTTAGAGAGGTGGTGGGGTTTTTGTGTTTGGCAGTTTGATAAATTGCAGTTAAAGGCTTGATGTGAACATCCGGTGTGATGCTTTTGATCTGGTCAGTCAGATAGGTGAAGTGTGGTGCTTTTGAGGTGATGGGGCCACTGAGGTGATTGCTTTCCCTGGAACCTTGTTTATCCCTACCCCTCTGCCCTTGCAGCAAATTGGCTGTGGTGTGTGCCAGGCCTGCCAGATGTCTCAGGACTGCGGCATCTGCAGTGTATGTGTTCTGCGAGCCCAAAGCCCCAAGTTCCACATTGACATCAAATGCTTGCTGCGCCGATGCTTGAAGATTGTCAAAAAGGTACCATAGGTTGCTTCCTGCTTTTCCTTTCCTTCCCTTCCTTTTTCCTTGTTTTCTGCTGCTTTTTTCCAGCTTCGCATAGGCTTACACACGGTCTTAAGTTTTAACAGTTACCTCTTCTCCACTCTCATTCTGGTTTGCAGGGCCTTGATTGTGGCATGTGTCAGGCCTGCAAGATAACTGAGGACTGTGGGACCTGTGCAATCTGTTTGCGGAGGCAAAGACCTGGCATGAAACGTCAGTGGAAATGTCTCAAGCGCCGTTGTCTCAAACGCAAGGTGTGTGTGTGTGTGTTTGATCCAACTAGTTTTGAACTTGTTTAAAGGGAGTGGTTGAAGTAGCAATAGCAATAGCACTTAGACTTATATATTGCTTTGCAGTGTTTTACAGCCCTCTCTAAGCAGTTTACAGTCAGCACATTGCTCCCAACAATCTGGCTCCTCATTTTACCAACCTTGGAAGGATGGAAGGCTGAATCAACCTTGAGCCGGTGTCAGGATCAAACTCCTGGCAGTGGGCTGAATTAGCCTGCAATACTGCATTTTAACCACATTGCACCACCACGGTTTCTAAAACGGTTATAAGAGAAAGAAAGCAACATCAGCCTATTTTATTTAGGGAGAAGTCCTTTGCAAACTGAAGTAAAAAATTTCAAGATATGACTAAGGGCATATCTTAGAGGAAAGTTTCAACGTTTGTACTTCTAATGGATTATTAGAGGCTTGCTTAAAGCAAGAAAGCCAAATGGGAAGGACACATTTGATGTTTAGTTCTTGTTATGCAGGAATCCTAGGCCTGGCCTGGCATAGACAAAGAGTCCAGTTCTTTCTGAATCACATGATTATTCAGATCTATAAAAAGGTAGGTCCTCCCATAAAGCTGGAAGAACCCCAAGTGATTTATTCAGCATGCCTTTATAGTTTACTGGGATACACAAGCAGGAAATACAGCCATTGGCATGAAAATAGATAAAAGTAGATAAAAAACAAGTTGCTACAATGTTGTTGCTCACCAAGTACACTTAGAAAAAAGCATCTTAGCAAGTCCATTGTGCCCTATGTGGGCACAAGTTTCCTGTCATGCCTCCCTGAACTATGGACAAGTTGATGTTATTACAACTCATTTATTCTCTTCAATCCAGCTGTTTCAATGCAAGAATCTCTTGATCATCATAATCCCCCTTTGATACTTGAGCAATATGGAGAAGTATCACCTCGGGAAATTTGAAGTTCAGTCGCCCTGTACAATTTCTTAGGACAAGCCTGCATGGTTTAAGATGTATACAACAATAACAATAACAACAACAAAAAGAATCCAGAAGACTATGAAGAGTAAAGCTAAGAACATCTATGTAGGCCATCCCCACCAGGCAGCAATCAGCCAAGAAAATATCCCCAAGAACACTCCTGAGATGTCAACATCCGTGAATCTATTTGCAAATCTTTTCCATGAGGTGAATAGTATGATTAACACCTACTTGATAATTAGAAATATAGTAAGCATGTATAACTGCACAACTCCCTGTCCCTCCCTTTTTTTGTTTACTGCTAACGCAATGTCTACAGCAAGCTGGTTCTGGAGAACAACCTCCCTAATCTCATCGTGTTCTTTATTCAGTTGGGACATACTCTGTACGATCAAATTAAGCATACTCTCTGCCCAGTTGCCCAGTTGTATAATAGATCCATAATTAAGTTCTTGATTCCAGTATCATATGTTTCATAGTTGAAAAGGTTTTCCTGAACTGAATCCTGCACCAAGGTACACTTATTGCGGATCCAGTGGTTCCACTCTTTCTGATATATTACTCAAACGGGGGATAACCATGCCCACTGTGCAAATTTCAGACCAGAAAGGTGACAAATATTTATAAGCAAGCTTACCACATCAGAGCCACCAATTGGGATACGAGCAGCTCAGCCGGCTGTGGTTCTCAGCATCTATATTTTCATATGCAACAATTCCCATAAAGTGCCGATGAAATTGCATAAAATAGAAGGGTGGAGATCAGTATTCGTCCCAAAGGCCTTATACCATTTTATTCAATTGGTCTAATGACTGGTAGTATTGGTCACCCAAAGACTCTACAGTCCCACTGCTCATAAGCTTCCAACTTTGCCTTTGAGCTAGGATTTGAACGTTTCAGGCAGACAGCGGAACCATCTTGGATTCGTGCTCCAAGTTTAATAAGAGTTTGTTTGTTTGGGTGGGAATGTGGGTGCAAATCCAGCACTCAGTAACATTTAAGATTTTTACCCAGATTGTGGATATGCATATTATCACTCCACAATCCCAATGATGGCACAGGGTATTGTTCGCCTCTTTGAAGGTGGTCATGTTCCTGTGTGTGAACTTGGAAGGTATCAATAAGTCTAGGTTGGGCTTCATCCGTCTTGGCTTCTGAGGCTTCTATGGCATTGTCTCTTCATGTATTTCTCTTGGGTCCCCAGAGAGGGTCAGAGAATCCTGAATATCCTTAATCACCTCTATGTCTACATCCCAATCATTTTCAGTCCCAGTCCCAGAGCACTCATAATCCCCACCCACCCACCCCGGTAGAGAAAGAAGACAAAGAGAAGGATGGAGACAAAGAGGAAAAAAATAGGAGAGGCCATGGAGCACAAAGAAAAAGAGGAGGTAAATGACAGTAAAGAGCAAAACAAATCTGTAGCAAGAGAAGAAAGAAGGACCAAAAGCACAAAAGTCCCTGGGCTGATAAGAAGCCATATAGAGCATTCAGCTCATATCACACAGCATCCTGAAATGAACCAACAACCACAGTGGTGTTTGGACATATCACAACTCAAAGTTCATCATCAGCATGGAAAGAAGATGCCTTCAGATAGGTGTGATGAATCCAGGTCTAGACTCAAGTAACCAACCTATGGGTGGTGAGAAGAACAATATAAGGTCCCTTCCATTTTTTGGACAAAGGATTGCTGGAATGCCAGGATTTGACAAGAACCTAATCTCCAGGGCAGAATGAGTGCACTAAGCAACCCAGATCGGGAGGACAAACAGTATTAAACAGCTTCAGAAATAGAAGAAACATTGTTAATCAGAAAGTGAACATATTCTCAAAGGACATGGTCCCTGAAAGTGTGTCCGTAACTCGTGAATCAGGAGAAGTTTCTTACCATCTTTCTGTCACCAATTCCCCCATAAAACAGCACTCATTTTATGAGCTGTGCCTATCCTGAGTAGAAAGATACAGTACAGGTAATTGGGAAGGAATGAGTGCACATACCAAGGGGAAAGGACCTGAAGCAGCAGACTTTGCAGTGAGGTCAGCAAAAGCATTACCTCTGCCATGTTTATTGTTATCCTTACATGCATCTTACTTGGAAGCAGGATGAATAGGGAGACAGTTGCGAGAGGGCCAGGAGACATAAGGAATTTTTTTAAAAAAAAAACCCATTTTAGTCCATCTTCATTATGACATGTATGATTCTATACTTTTTGCCTTTCAGAATTTCTGCTGTTCTATTTCTGGACTACTTAGGCACTGAGCCATTTTCTTTCAATATTGTTGTATATAGTGTTATTCCTAATTGTGATTTTTGGTTTGTTTGGAATGAACCATTATTGGGTCCTCTAGTCTAAGAATACTATTAGTATGAACCAGATGGAGAATGCTGAAGTATATTATATTGCAATTCTGAAGGGGAATAAAGTGTATATGGGGCTAAAATAGGTGTTGGCCTTCTGAAGCTCTTTGCTTTTATTTATAAAGATAAGAGATATGAGTCTAATTTATATTGAAAAACAGGAAGTCAGAGAAGAACTAAATTATTCATGAATATTTTCTATACAAGGCCTATTGGACTTAATATAACTGGTTATCAAGTAGTGGCAATATAACTGCAACCTCAGTTATGATTTTCAGAGTCTGAGGATAAATTGTTGATGCTTGGTGTATCTTTTTTTAGTAACTAGAACATTGTAAATATGGTGGTGCTTGTTTGTGAACCCTTTTAAATTTCCAGTATTCTTGCATAATAAATATGATCTAAAATGCGATCTGTTCTCCACATGTCTTAAAATTAAATAAACAGAACTCAATTAAACAAATGAATCAACAACAGTACACTTATCCATTTATATATTGAGCAAAATGATCCAAAGCTACATATAAACAGTCCTGATGTTCTCTTTTATGGACATCCAAGGGGAAACTACAATTGCTTGTCAAGTATACCAAGATGAAGATAAAATTTCTGCATGCTGGCTGGTTCCCTTTTCTCTGAAACACGCAGGCATAAAAAGAATCTTGGGCTATATAATCCTTAAGGAAGAGTTATGTAAGGAACATTCTCTTAGGATATATAAACATCATTTTCAATTGTTGTTGCATTTGATATGAGTTTTAAAATCTGAGGGTGCCTGTGAATTCCAATGTAACAATTATTTTGTGTGTTCTAATGTCTTTCTCCTGGATCTGCAAAAATCTTTGCTCTGTATGGAAATGATCAGGAAATGTAAGAATGTGGCTGCATTAACTGGAAATGCTCACAGCTAGCGAATGCATGATTTTATCCTGAACTTGAGATCTCTGGTCAAAGACCCCAATGAATACAGATTCCCCAGGAGTGATTTCTAAAAAATAAATGTATCTGAGATGTATGTTAACTCTGTCACTCTAGCACTAAATGACTCTTGATCCTTCTAGAAAAAAGTCTCACCCAAGAAGGACAGCTGCAGCTCGAAGAAAGTTTCAGCAGTAAGTACCTGCTGTGTGACTTACTGGGGCTTGGTATTTGCTTGCTTTCATTCCACTTCATTCCATTTGGTCTTTTTCTCCTCTGAATTGCTTGCATGGTTTTCTATCACTGCAAACTCCCAACATGATTTTTTTTTTTAACAAATTAGCAGCAAGAGATTGACAAAGCAGGAACAATGCTACATCCTGGCAAACAGGATTATAAAGGGAACTCTTTTTCTGCCAAGCAACAACATCCCTTTTCATTGTGGAGTGCTTCTTAGTTCATAGTGCCTGTGCAAATTGGAATATGGCATGTAGCGAGTCAGAAAGTGGCTTTGTGCATGGCTTTCCGTCTTTGTTTTTGGGAACAAACCCGTGCAGTGTGCGCATCTGTGCGTAGAATTTCTCTTTAACTTGCTACAACTTTGCCCTGCGTTTCTCGGTTGCTCCCAGGAATCTTCAGCAAAGAATGTCTTCACCCCAAAACAATGTGGGCAGAAAAAGCCATCTTTAACCACAGTGAGTGGCACTAGTTCTTCGTGCAAATAAAAATGACAGTTAATGTTCCACAGGGATCTGGGTCTCCACTCCCAGCTCTGCCCTTGCTTATACATGTTCATACTGGAAGCAGACCAGTTTATGAGGTGGAATTAATTTCAAGGATGATAAACGCTGGAAGCTTGTTGCAGCGCTGTAATGTAATATTTGGACCAACAGGAGCTTGGTTTCTATGTCCTTCTCTGCCTTAGGTGAGGCACATTTCTTTAATCTAACATTGGATACTACAAGGTTCTTGGGAAATAATTATATTGAATCTGACTAATAATGAACTTGGAGCTAGAAGTTCTTCAGTTTTGTGTGTCTTTATCTGTTCCTTGTTTTCTCTCTCCTCTGTTTGTCAGAATAAGGGAAGGGAAGGAAAGGAAGTTAGTTGCTCCTGTTCCTGCTGGCATTTTGCCTGCCCTTGGTCATTCTGTTTTTTGTTTGTTTGTTTAGGTAAGGAAATATCTCTGAAACGATGACCCAAACAGTATGGGTTTCTAGTTCTTTATAAACTCTCTTTATAAAGCTGCTAGAATTAGGAAAAGGGGTCTCACATTGTAAGGCTTCTAGGTCAGTATGGAATGCAACATATATACATACATACATACATACATACATACATACATACATACATACATATTTTCTTAAGTTTTCGCGGGTACTTACATGTATGGTATTCAGCTTTGCTCGGGTATTTTCCCACGTCATTGTAGTTGTGCTTTTAAAGTTGTAGCAACGTTTCGGCAGAATCTCATCTGCCTTTCAAAACTGAAACAACTGTAAAAGTCTGACTCACAGACGAACACAATACAGAAGCCTGATGATGGCAGATGAGATTCTGCTGAAACGTTGCTACAACTTTAAAAGCACAACTATAATGACGTGGGAAAATACCCGAACAAAGCTGAATACCATCAGCACACTATTAACCTGATGAAAAGATTGAAGATTTCTTATACAGATGTTTCAGGCAGGGTTCTTTCCAATATCTTTGAGCATGCTGACTATCTTCACTCTCATTTTCTTTGCTGTCTTCATTTCTTCGGCTGTCAGGGTAGGCAATTTCTAAAGGCTCAGTTGGCCCCAGGCCAACCCCACCGGAGGCAGTCTGCTACCCCAGTAAGTGGCCTGCATTCCTGTTCTATTAGGCTTGTACTATAATATAAATTGCCTTACATAAAATTTATAATTTATGTTTGTGGGTTGAGCAGAATTGAATCACAACATATGCTGTACTCATTTCAAAAGATAAAATAATTCAGAATCATTTTTTTCTAATGTTCTTCAGAATGTTCAATTGTTAAATTTGGTAATTGGGCGGAACAAATATGAGTGGAAGAGCAATTGAAAATGTTTTTTTTTTCTGAACTAAGTGCAATAGATGGGGTATTTTTAATATAATTATAAAGCATTTTTTCTCATTTTAATTCCTTCTTATTTAGAAATTAATTTGCCCCCTTTACTCATGGATAAAATTTTGAAAAACTCATTTTCATTGATGTTAAAAGAAAATGCGTTTGGTTAACTTACAGGAGTTAGGGAAGGCAGCTTAGCCTTACTTCAGTCCTGTCTTTCTGTCCACTTCTCTTTTTTGTGGGGGCTCGTTTATGGATGTCTCATATACTTCCACTTAGATCATAATTTCCAATTGCTAATTCCATCACTTGTTCTGCTTCTTATTCTAGAAATTGAAACCTACCATTCAAAGGGATCCTGGAGGCAATCCTCTTGTAAGGCATCGGGTATGTATGCAATAAGGGAAAAATACATAGCAAATAGGCTGGTTTCTCTTGCAAATTGAATAGTAAATATTCCTGTGGCGTAGTGCTTAGGGATACCCAGATCCACTTGGACTCAAGGATCTTGAATGCTTTCTAGTGAAGGAATTATAAAATAGAGCCATCCACAGTTATCCTACTTGTACTCTATATTTCTACTCCTTTGAACAGGGATAAAATGTTCTGGCCTTTTCTAGTTTGGTGAAGAATGAAGTTATTTCAGTTCAAAATGTTGAAAGTATATTTCAGTCTGCTCCTTTAGAAATTATAATACCAAAACATGTTTCCCCAAAATGGGAAAGAGAAAAAGAAAGATAGAAAGTGTCAGTGTTCTTCCATGGAGAATGCTGAAGTAAAGAGCATTTCAGTACAGCATAATCTGGGATCTGAGGCTGAATTATTTTTGACAGGTTTGGAGAGAAAGCAATATGACAATTCTTGAAATAACATTTGATCTGGTTTGCTCTCTTATTATTTAGATGTATATGTGATTTAGGTTTAAGGAAAGACAACTCTTGTGTGACAAGTATTGTATCAGCTCCAACTAACTCTCACTCATTTGGATTTTTTGTGTGTTCTGACCGAAACTGAAAAAAGTTAGTATTGTAGAAGGATTCAGGTAGTTTCATAGAGCAATTGGTGGGACTTAAGATATCTAGAGTGACTGGACAATGTAGTGATTAGAGTGCCCTCTGGAACGTGGGAGACTGGGGTTTGAATCCTGGTTGATACCTACATTACTGGTAGTCTCTGGAAAAAGACCCCTGAATGTTTCATCTTCCTACCTCAGATATGACAGTTAGGTTAATTAGAAGAGTCACACCGACTCCGATGTTGCCTGGATTAATACAATCTGTGTCATATGTTGAGGAACCAGGACAATCTGATAATTAAGTGGGCTACTGGAACAAACCATACTTGGGTGAGACAAGAGAACCACAGGCGAGCCAGCTGCTAACAAGAAGTTCTTATCCAGACTGGCTAACATAAAAAGGACACTGCTGATTATGAAATACCCTCTCTTCCAAGGGAACAGTACCACTCAACTGCCAAACAATAACCAGCTTCCCCACAACATGGGAAATCCTATCAGGCATCATAGCTGCCAAGTTAACAGGACCATATGGGCCAGTACATGAACACAGCTCAGAAGGGCATTGAAAACAATACTAGAAGCTCAAAACACCAGTTGCTCATAGATAGAACAATCACCCAAACTCAAGGTCTAGAGAGACCAATCTGAGAGCAGCCTCAATTGACTACCGGAAAGCTTTGGACTCAGTGCCGCACACATGAGTCTGTAAATTCCTTGTGCTATATAAAGTCAACATAACATTAAGGACCTTCTTCAAGAACTCAGTAGGACTGTTGAGACAACACTGGAAGTCAATTCAAGAAAGCTTGCACAAGTGATCGAGTATGTCATGTATCAAGGTGATGCCCTGTCCCTGCTGCTGTTCTGCACAGGCTTGAACCCCCCTTAGCCAAATAATCACAATGACTGGATATGAATACAAGTTCAAGAGTGGAACTACCATTGGCCACCTCCTCCATATGGATGACATAAAGCTCTGTGCTAAGAATGAATAAGATATCAACACACAGATCCACCTGACTTTGAGCTACAAGGAGGACATTGGGTGGTCATTCGGAGAAGTGGCTGGATCATAGTAAAGAGAGGGAAGATGGTTAAGTCTGTAGTGAGGCTACCAGTGGGCCATATGGCAGACGTATAGATCAGCTACATGTACATTGGTATCCCTCAGTGATATCACAATGAGGAGTCAAGGAAAATAGCAACGTCCAAGTACCATCAAAGATAAGACAGGTTATGAAGAGCCAGCTGAATGTGAAGAACAAGATCCACGTCATCAACACTTGTCATCAGATATTCTGCCAATAGGCCAAAGGAGAATATGGTAGCTGGCCATGTTGAGACCTGGAAGCTCTTCACAATCTATGGAGATTTCCATCCCAACTCAGAGACTACGTCAGATGGAAAGAGGTGAGCTGGGTCTAGTAGTCCACAATCTTGGATGAAACTCAGAGCATCCAGGAATACCTCAGTAATATTTCACCAAAGATAAGCTGCTGAGAGAATGCCTGAGGCAGAAGTAGATCAACTGGAGGAAGTGTCAGGGCAACACAAGACCGTGCATGGGATGTATAATTTACAGATAGTGTGATGGCTGACATTGGAAAATTCTACCAGTGGCTGGAAAAGGTTGGAGTGAAAGACAACACAGAGGCACTGATATTAGCAGCACAAGAGCAGGCACTAAAATGCCATATCCAGAGAAGCAGGCGCCTACTACACTAAGGACCCAAGGTACAGACTCTGTCTACTAAACAGCACCACCAAGTAGCCTGGCATTGTAAACAGGAACATCTGCACAGTGTATAGACTAGACCCTCCCAAGCCTGATGGAAGATTCCACAGAAAGTCATGGAGAATAACAGGGATAAGATCCCGTGTGATTTTACAGTTTCAGATAGATAGGCAGGTAATGGCCAGTCAAGCAGACATCGTGATAGTAGACAAGGGGCAGAAAACAGTGATGGTGAGAGATGTAGCAGAACCCAGTGACACCAGGAAGAAAGAATATGAGTAGCCGGAGAAGTATATGGGCATGAAGGAGGAATTCGAGGAACTAGGATTTGGAAAAATAAAGGCCAAGTTGGTATCATTGGTACTAGGCATACTTGGGACTGTGACTCCTAAGCTGGGAGAGATTGGCTCCAGCAGGTCTTAGGAACAACAGTGTTAGGAACGGCTAAGAATAGCCAGGGTGGGGTTGGCAACTATTAAGAAGAAGAGGCATCCCAGTGTGCTGTACCTGAATCTAAAACAGCCCTTTTGTTTAAAATGTATATTAAAGGGGGAGAGGGAAGTTATTATCCGCAGAAGCCTGCATGTGTGTGTGGGGGAGATGGAGGCCTTTCTCCCCCTTTTTCTCAGTGGGACTGTGGGATTCTCTAGGAACAAAGGAAGTGCTTTATAATCTAGCAATTTGCTTTGCACTATGTCTGTTTCCCATTGACCTTTTCCTTTTTGAAAGAATCAGAACATAAAATAAATAAAATAGTATGTGTTAAAGCAGGGTTTTAAACTATCTTGCAGTCTTAAGAGATTAGAAAAGTCAAAGAGAAAGTTCGAGGGCAACAAAAAGGGGTTTTGTTCAGAATCATTGAATCTGAAGCATGAGCAGTGGGCTCTCACAGAATTTGATACTTAAATTGTGTTACTTAAATTGTGAGCTTGCTCGTTCGTTTCCCATTAAGCATCTTTACTCTTTACCTCCAATCCAAGATTCTTTCTTGGAAGCCATATTCAGATGGCCTTTAATTTAGCTGGCTATTAAATTACTTCTCTCTTTTGCTGTCTGAGAGTAATTTTTCCTGGAAGGAAAAAAAAATCTTTTGTTGTTGATTCGAAACAAAAATCTAACTATAAGCAAGGCTTTGTTCTTCAAAATCAGTTACCTTATACAGGTAGTCCTCAACTTAAAACCATTCGTTTAGTGACCAAAGTTATAATGGCACTGAAAAATGTGATTTGTGATCGTTTTTCAAACTTTAGACCATTGCAGCATCCCCATGGTCAAGTGATCAAAATTTGGATGCTTGCCAACTGGCATGTACTTATATAATGGTTGCAGTGTCCCAGGATCATGTAATCACCTTTTGTGACCTTCTGACAAGCAAATTCAATGGGGCAAGCCAAATTTGCTTATCAACTTAACAAGTTAGTAAGTTAAGTTACTAACTTAAAAACTGCAATGGTTCACTTAATGACTGTGGCAAGAAAGATCATAAAATGGGGAGAAATATACTTAACGGTGTCACTTATCAACAGAAATTTTGGGCTCTGTTGTGGCCGTAAGTCAAGGATTAACTGTACATGATTAAAATCTAGATGGTATTAATAAAAGGGGTCAAAATCACTGCGCTGCTCCATAACTCTTCTTGGAATCCTCTTTCCTAATTAGTCCTTTACTCATTTCATTTGGCTATGCTATGATACAAGGCATGTAATGCTGGGTCTTTTTTGTACTTCAAAGTACACCACACAAACCGCAGAGAGAGTCTTTCAGTGGGAGAAGAACGCCGCAATGTTTTCCAACTTTCTGAACTAAAAATGTCTTGGGGAACAAGTAAGAATTTCAAGTCCTCCCAGCCACTAACTTATGTTGGGTTCCTCCCAACAGAAGAAGCAATTGGGAGTGGCGAAAGAGAGGAAGAAAGTGGGCCATCCTCCCAAGCATCCTGTGGCTAAACTCAAGGACAGTGTGGTAAAATGTGTTTCTTTTTTTGGTTTTCGGATTTATCTGGAACATGACCAATTTTGAGTTAAGAGGTTGGGCAAATGGGTTAAATAGATGAAGTCATTAGCTGATGAGGACTAGGTGAATCCACTACAAAGTGAATCCACGCTCCCAGGTGAAGTGCAAAACAGATTCTTTATTGGGATCCAATGGGCTATGAGGAGCCAGAGTGGGAGGAAGGAAAGTGAGTAGCTATTGAACTTGCTTTGTAGAGTTTTGTAAGTCTGTCACTCTCCAAAGAGGCAGAGACAGCAATAAAATGATCTAATTTTAACAATCTTAGAACAACAATTCTTGACAAATACATAACATAAGAAAGAAAAGGAAGATATGAGTGTACAGAGTAGACTCCTACAGTCCTTGGAGGTTGTCACTTTTTATCTTAATATTTAGGTGATTCTTTCAGGTAGCACCCTACGGTTATAGTAGACCAACTAGTATGTTCAACCAGTTGAATTTACATAATTCTGAGCAGCTAAAACTTGATATGAAGGTCTGTGATCTTATCTCAGTGATCACTGATATAACTATAGCAAGTAAGGAATATTACAGCTATCTTCTTCAGAAATACAGATTTGAATCTCTGTTTCTTGTTAGACTGTAAGCTATGTTGGTCATTCTGGGTCCAGGGAACAATTTCCATTGCCTTGATTTTCTAAAATTTACTATAACTGGCTTCATAATTTAAAAATTCCTGCAATATACAAGATTTCTGAAAAAGAATAGAGTTGATTGAATTGCCTATGGAGATTCTCAGTCATCCAGGTCATGCTATTTTAAGAGGCAACTGGGCTTTCTTTGTTTTTCCTTGAAGACGTTTCGCTTCTTATCCATGCAGCTTCTTCAGTTCTGGACTTCTTAAATGAGAAGTGAAATGTCTTCAAGATAAAACAAAGAAAGTCCAGCTGCCTTTGGGACAACCATGGCCTGGATGACTGAGAATCTCCATAGACATTTAGTTATGCAAGTTGGTTGAATTGTTTATGCTTTGATTGCATTTGAGATAGATTTATTTCCTAATTCTCACATAGTACAGAGTTTATGAACGTTATGCTTTTTAGAAATAACTGGATTATTTAGACACTGTCCTAGGCTTTGCAGCATATACTTCCTGGCTTGATAGCTTCCTTTTTCTCCTTATAGCATTCCTCTAAAAATCAGCAAAACCGGAAGTGTGGTCAATGTGAAGCCTGTCTGCTGAAAACAGACTGTGGCCATTGTGATTTCTGTTGTGACAAGCCCAAATTTGGAGGGCAGAACCTGAAGCACCAGAATTGCCGGTGGAGACAGTGTCTGCAGTTTGCAATGGTTGGTGCACCTTCTCATTTGTTTTATTGTGTTCTGTCTATCACCACTTTGCTACTTGCTATCAATAGAGAGTTCTTTTCATTGTGTACTATGTTGTAAGCCATGTCATACTTCTCTATGCTAAGTGTGGGTATCAAGTGCTCCTACTAACAAAGGCTTGTAGGTCTTGTTGCAGTATGTGCATTTTGTTCAGAAGCATGTTGCCTAATTGTCAGATCTAATGCCTATGTATTGTCAAGATTGATCAACTCAGGTTTCTTTATTCCAGGGGTGGGCAGACTGAAATTGATTGTTTATAAATACCTCCTGGAGATGAATAGCAGATTCTAATTGATTTGTGTTTGAAATGTTTTGTTTTAAGGTTGATCTGGTGGCAGTGACAAAATAACACAACAGGAAAAAGTCATAATAATTTATTTTTCCTTGTCATTAGATCAATTCCTGCATTAACATTGCCAGACAATATTAAGTGTGTTATAGGGAATGCATTCAGTAATTCCACGATATGTGTTCCTGTTTTAACCCAAACAGTATCTTTGATCACATGCACAAAGGGAGAATATGCACATTGATTAATAGTGGTGGACTTCAAGCAGTACTGCCACTGCATGCACTTCCTGTGGTTTATATAGATTGATCACATGAATTTGAAGGAAGTGAGGATTTATTCATTTATTTTATTTTCTTAACATTTTTGAACCACCCATCTCTCTTGGGGAGATGCTCTGGGCAGCGTACAATAAACTGTTAAAATATAAAAACACTATCTAACAATTATACATTTAGAAAATGTAGAATTTAAAAGGAGTCAAAGATTATTAAAATCTGTTAGAAATTAATTAAAAAGATAAAGAGAGGACTCTCAGAGCTCCAACCAAAATGAGACAGAGACAGTTCCATAGGTAGCCTGGCCCCATGCCTTGTAGGGCTTTATAGATCATAATTGACACTTTGAATTGGACCTAGAAGCAAACTGGCACCAGTGGAATTCTTTGGATCAATACTTTTTATACCATTTAAGAGTGTATGCCTTTCTTGATAGACTAAAAGCTACTGTGGGAGAAGAATAAATTTTACCTGTCAAGATTTGAGATTGATTTGAAGGCTACAAGACATGCAAAAGAAACTGATGTGTTAATGATTATAAGCGATGTACAAATAACAAATTAAAAAACTAAGAAAGTGACCTGGATAATTTTCCTGTATTGGATTTATAGAAGAGGTTTGTTAAAGCTTTGAAGAATTTTGTGAGAAAGGGCAAAGAAAAAATAAAAAGAAATCAAATTCTAGACACTATTTAAAGGAATATTGTTGTTTTTTTACTTCCAGCTTCACTTTGTCCTGCACTGGTGGGGACTCTCTGAGTTTGGCCACACTTCTCTGGATTTGATTTGTAGGGTTTTTCTTTTAGATATAACAAGCTTTGCTTCTTTTACATCCAGGACTTCCTGCTATGAAGCAGTCCCTGCTGATTTGGCATGGTATGATTAAATGAATGCATAAAATGGCCTTCAAAATAGTCCACTTTTCTTTTTATTGATGCAAACTCTTGAAAGATTGAAATTAATCATTTCTGCAGCAGTCAGTAAGCACTGCCCAGTTCAGTGTGTTTCGAAGAGCAGGAATTATGCTTGTCATTCAAATTTAATGTTCAGATACATATTATGGCCCAGTGTGGTACCAGCTTCATAATTAATCAGGAGCTATGATTCTTGATGCTTTTTTTTTACACTTTATTCCCTAATTCAGTTATAGGAACACAAATTTTAAAAAATTAAATTAGAAACTTCAAAAAAAATTTTTTTGATAGGTTGCCTGACTAATAAGATTTGGCTCAATAAATGAGGAAATGGAGATATTTGTGTTGCAACCGATTATTCCAGCTTCTATTCAGAGTTTTCACTTTGATGGACAAAGCTCCATTCTTCAGTTGAAGGATATAAATGGACATCTCAAAGAGTTATGTTTGTTTTGGAAGTTAAGTTTGTTATCAGTAAAACAGAAGAAGGAACCATGGAGTTTTATTTCTTTTGTATGTTAGGTTTGTTTTCAATAAAACAGAATAAGGAACTGTTCGGCCAAGTTGTCTTTAAAGTCTTTTCAGTTAGCTGTTGCCAGTGCTATAGATATTAATGAATTTCATTCATTAAACACAATTGAGGGGGATTGGGCTGTGCCAAATTTGGGTTTTTAATGATCTGTTGCTGTATGAACCCAACTATATGTGATTTCTCTAGAAGATTTTGTGCAGATTTATCTGATGTTGTATAAAGCCTACTTGCTTTTGCATGTTTTGACTCTACCTCGTGGTGTCTTAAATCTGACCTTGGACAGACAATAAAATGTTTCCCTTGTTTGTTTATACAGTGGAACCTCAGGTCACGAACACTCCTGTTCACAACCAAATCGATTTTCCTGTTCGCGACCACCTGATTTAAAAAATCGGGTGGTGAACAAAATCAGTACAAATTTCTGTACCAATTTCCCCTTATGCCATTTTTTTTACTGCACGCATGCACAGTTGGTCATGCTTCTGGATGACCGGAATACAGGTCTCTTCCTGTATTTTAATATGTATTCAGATTAATCTGTATTCAGATTAAATATCTCGCTCCAGAACTGGCAATACTATAATACAGTCAAATCTTCACAGGATTAACCAAAGAACATTATTTTAAGTGGCATAAATATTATAAAGAAACCAGCTTGACCAGTTGTTTCAGCGCAGTTCTTATTCCTGAATGTAGCCAATATTTAGATTTGGAGAAAATTTTCTTTTTTTCAAGCAAGGATTTTACTTACCAAGGTTAACTCAAGTTTCTTCCTTATGGAGAAATGAATTCAGCACCCATTTGTTAGACTGCAATGGTGGGCTTTTTAACTCTGAGCTAAATAGCTATAGAGTTTGAAAGTTGTAAGAATTAAGGAAGAGCCAGCAGGAAAGAGTTTGCTGTCTTGATTCTGTGTTGACCTAACTTAGACCACATAGAATTTTTATGGGGGTTTTTTGAGCAAGCTGATCATATAAGTGTTAGTGGCTTGGGTTATAACTTGAGTTGGCTACTTGGAAATGTTTCTTTATGCACACGTGCTAAACAGTTTTAATCTGCTGAAAATAGAAGGCCTAGATTCTTGAAATGATAAATTCTTTACATTATGAAACATCTGCACCTGGCATGATTTTAGAATGGTTGTTTGCCTGCAAGACTAAGCATTGTATAAGCTACATCCATAGTTATAAATGAAATGAGTAAGCAGCAACATAGAGGAAATGCAAAAAGAGATGCATGGACTCTTAGGTATCTGCTAAGATGAATTGGATACTGTCATCTTTTTCTTCAGCCATAGAGACAGAGAAACCCAGAGAAGTACTTGAGCAAGGACATGTTTTTCTAAATAATCTGTTGTTTTATCACCCTAGTTGTGTTTGATATTCCATAAACTTTGCCCTGGGTGGCTTTGCGTTGATATGTGTTTGATCACTAATCCTGACTTTATTGTCTCACTCATTTGCTATCCTACATATAAACAAGAGATCTGTTCCAGTCCATGATAAAAATAAAGACAAATAGTTAGCTGTTTTGAAAGATAGATGAGTTGGAAGAAAGAAAATGGGCATGCTATCTAAGTATTTACAGAAAAAGACAAAGAACTGTAAAAGAAAAATACCATGGAAGGCTACTTGTGGTTTTTGTTTAAAAACAAAATTAGTCTTCTACTATTCTTATTTCTATTATTCTTAGAAAACTAGTTCTATTTCTACTATTCTTAGAAAGCCATTCTTATCTTTAGCAACAGAAACTGAGAACTTCTATTCCACATCTTTGTTCTAAGAGTGGCATAAAACTTGCAAATTAAAGAGCTTGTGTACAAGTTCCCTCACAGAGTGTGTTACAAGTTTTTGGGAAAGATTTTCTTTTAGAAATAGATGTTTTTATCTAAGAAATTTTGTGGTAATTCTATGGAGAGCAGAGGAATATTGATTGTCAGCTATAGATTTCAATTTTCCGTTCAGTCTAGGGCATTTACTGTCTTTATTGTAAGATTAGGGTCTTGATTGCCTGTCTAGAGAAGAGACATTAAGGATGCTTTACCAGTCTGAACTGTTTGTGAACTCTAATCCAAATGACCCATCTGAATCCTGCTTTCTAACTTGGAATTGCAGGCAATTTGCAATGGTCAGGAATAACAACAACAACAACAACAATATAGTTTATAGGGTGCTGCCTTGATGTAGCAGGGGGCTAAACTGCTCCAATGAAGCTGAGAGCTGTGCTGGCAGCAGGTCCAACCATGTCAGAGAGGTCTCGGCCGAGGAGCAGAACTGAGTGCACCCAACAACCCATGCAATGAATCATGGTGAAACACAACCAAATGAAGCCTATACTGGCTCGGTTGTCACCTAGGTTAACAAGGACCGTGTCGGGTGTTTGGGAACCTGGGCATCCGTTGACAAGTGGGCTACAGGCCACGGGTCCCATAGCTGAGCAACCAGGGCATGGGCCTGCAGGGCTACTGGAAGCTGAACAACCTCAGAAGCGGCAGAAAAACACCATGTCAGAGAACCGCACTGTAATGAAATGCTACTACAAAGCAGAACCAGAAAAATGAGGCTACCAAAAAAGGATGTACAAATTATAGAAACAAGAATATCCAAACTCAAGGATAACTGGATTACAATTAGCCGATCAGTGACAATTCATCACTCGGAACAAAGTGCTCAGTAAAGTCGAACTTGAAGAAATACGGAAAAATTGTGAAATGGGAACACAGACTATTGAACAGCAGACTGCTGAAGTGGCAGCAGAAAATACTCCAATAATTTTTGGAGCAACTGAACAGCCTGAATTCGAAGAAAATGCAGATATTTTGCAAGAACAGGAACAGCAAGGGCCTGAAGTCACCATTGAAACACCAGGAGTACTCAATGCCAGGCAGCAAGAACTGAAAGCTAAAATCTTGGCACATGCTGCATCAAATGCAGAAAGAAGAAGGCTTCC